CGTCTGCACTCGTGATTGGGAGACAGGTTCAAACCTGCCAAGGTGGCTGGGTGCATTTTTAAATTCTATTAATAAAGCCTGGAATAAACTCATTGATGGCACTCAAAACTATCAATTGTAGATTTCCTTCCAGCAGGATCATTAATGGTTTTGATGGAAGGAAATGTACTATCCTTACCTAGTCTGGCCTAAATGGAACTGCAGAACCATAGTAACAACCATTCAACATCATTACTATGAGATGGCCTAGCAAGCTATTTAATTGTATTAAAGTATTCAGCACACCACCATCTAATCACGAGCAATTAGAAATGGACAATAATTGCTAGTATTACCAACATCACTGATATTCCATGAAAGTTTAAAAAAAAAACAGTTGCGCAGGAAGAACAGGAAAGCTCTGGGGGAGTCTTCTGTCAAGTCTACTCCCTCTGGCCAATTACAGCACATGCAGATATGAAGGCCAAAGATTATCTCACTCAACAGCTGCATCAGATTCATGAAATGAGCTGCCAGAGTCTCAAACAACCAAATATGAAGAAGTTAACCCAAAGTGAAATGAAAAATCCAATTCCAAACAAGAGTCTTTGGACTTAAAGCACTGGCAACCGCTTCTCTCACCACAGAAGTTGCCAAACAGAGACATGCATTTTCTCCTTTTATATTTGAAGAATTTGGTTGTACAAACTCAATATTCAAATAGTTCAGGACAATTGGGATTTAGCATCTTTAAATATACCATTTAGTGGTGCCAGATTGCTTTGGCAAAGATTTGAGAGAATGATACCAGGAATGAGACGCTTTAGTTACCTGGGAGAGACATCAGAAGATAGGATTGTTCCCATTAGAATAGGGAAAATTCAACAAGTCACTTCGAAGAGTTTGATAACCTCAATAAAGTGGAGTTGTTATGTCTGGCCAGAGATTTGAGTAACCAGAGGACACGTATTTAAGATAATTGGGTAAAGAGCCAGAAGGTAGATGAGGAAACTCTTAAGTGGGTCTTTATGATCTGGAATTCATCGCCTAAGAGAGTGGTGGAAGATGATTAAATTATAAAGGTTCAGAAGAGAATGGAATAAGATGTCTATTTGAGTTAAGTGCAGAGGAATGGGATTAAATGGAGATCTTTGTTAACAAGTTAGCACAGACCACGAGATGAATGGCCTGCTTTGAACAGTCACATTATTTTCTTTTTACAATTTGTTGATGGGATGTGGGAGTCACCAGCTGGGCCAGCATTCTGCATATGTTCAAATTTCCCTGGAGATAGTGATAGTGAGCTATCATCTCCAATCACTATAGTTCATTGAATCGAGGTACAGCCTCAATACCATGAGAGAGAAAGACTTGCCAGATTTTGACCCAACAAAAGTGAAGCAATGTCGATATACCTCCATTTGAGAACGGTGAGAAGCACACAGTGGTGCCCCATGCATCTGCTGTCCTTGTGCTTCTCGGCAGTAGAGGTCACAGGTTTGGAAGCTGCTATTGAAGGTGGCTTAGTGAGTTAGTGCAGTATATCTTGAAGATATTAGGTGCAAAGGGAGTGCCTGTGATGCCAAGCAAGCGGGCTGCTTTGTCCTGGGTGGTGTTAAGTTTCTTGAGTGTTTGTTGGAGCTGCATCCATCCAGGCAAGTAGGGAATATTCCATCACATTTCTGACTTGTGCCTTGTTGATGATTTTTTTCTTAATTCATTCATGTGATGAGGGCATCGCTAGCTAGACAGCATTTATTACCCATCCCTAATTACCAGAGGGTAATTGAGAGTCAAGCATGTTGCTGTGGGTCTGGAGTCACATTTAGGCCAGACCAGGTAAGGATGTCAGTTTCCTTCCCTAAATGACACTAGTGAACCAGATAGGATTTTCCTGACAATCAGCAGTGGATTTATAGTCATCATCAGATTCTTAATTCCAGATATTTATTGAATTCAAACTCCTGGGATTTGAACATGGGTCTCCAAAACATTATCTGGGTCTCTGGATTAACAATACAGCGATAATACCACTAGGCCATCGCCTCCCCTGGTGGGCAGGCTTTGGGGTGAATTACTTGCTGCAGAATTTGCAGCCTCTGATCTGATCATCATCATAACATTCGCATGGCTGGTCTAGTTTCAGTTCCTGTTCCAATGGTAACCTTGGGGATATTGCTTCTAAGAGTGTTTGTGTATTATTATAAACTGGGTGGCATAAATTCTCTCTCCTGTTGGATATTATAGAAGAAATAACTGAGGATAATAACAGCAGTCAGGGACAATGCAAAGGGTAGGCCTGAAATTCACCACTTAACCAGATAATTTGATGTTAAGGTGCTGTTGTGACATCATTAGGATGCTCATCATCTGCTTTCAGTGTCTTAAGTGAAAGTTAATGTAATGTGTGAAAATAGCCACAGACGAGAAAAATTCCCACCCTGATTTTTGTTTTTAGCATGGATAAAAAACAAAGTGTATCAAGTTTAATCACACCATAGTTAACATCTGCAGACGTGCAGCATAAACAAATACTTTCCCTAGATCTTGCTCAAGACTGACAACAATCAAGAGCAAAGAGAGAATCAGGCTCCAAAGTTTCGTCATGAGAGGAGTTACTCAAGTGGGTTAAATGTGTCAAAGGGACACATGCACATAACCAAAGAGCATTGAGCGGTGGTGAAAGTGTGTTGTGTGGGAACAGAACAGGACAGGAATGAGAAAAATGGGCAACCTGAAGGAGTCTAAACCTTCACAAGGCAGCAGGCAGATAACAACTGTGGGGGCAAGCCACTGTCTTAAATTTTTAAAAGTCCGTACGTGGCAGGAACTTCGGCCATTTCGATTTGCTTGTGTCTACGGAAAGATGAAGTGCTCTGTCACTTAAAGTCCATTAAGTCTGACCTTTATTTAAAAACAACAATTCCACCTGCTTGGCACACTTTTTAATTGTTTCCTTCCAGGAACGTATCTAACTGCCACTTGAATCCTTTTTTAAGCTGTGTCAATGTCTTCCCTACAATTTATTTCAAATCTCATTTACTCATTGAGTGGGAGAAACTGCTCTTGGTTTTGCTCCTTACCAATGTCCACGTCATAACAACTTGTCTCCCAGATTTGACTGTTCCACACAGAACACAATTCACCTGCATCAGGTTTTGCCAGTTTCCTCCCTAACCTTTTAAGAATCCTGGACCTAGTGGCCAAACACTCAGTTCAGAATCAGAGTGGTTGTGGGTTTAAGGAATTGCTCCAGAAAAATGGGCACACATCTTGTCTGTGGGAGCACTGCACTGTCAGGTAAGATATTAAATTGCACTCCATCTGTTCCTTTAGGTGGAGGGAAATGATCCTGTGACACTATCTCGAATGAAAGAGGAGCTTTCCTAGCACCTTAGTCAGCCTCTAAATCGTAGAAGAGAGCAAGGTGACCATTCCATCCACTGGCCTTGTACTTGCTCTCAGAGTTCTTCTAATTTGTGCCACCTTCCTGCACTATTCCGATACCTTGTGATTCTTACACATATCAATATTTATTCAAATCTCTTCAGAACATTAACGTATCTGCTCCCTTTCCACAACAAGTGCCCTGAAAAAGAGCAAGGCTGGTTATTTAACTCATTATGCTGGGGAACCTTGCTACTAGGCAAACACAACAACCAGTTGAACTATTTTCCGGAAATTGGATGTGGAATGCTTTGGGGTATCTTGAGCAAGTGGAAAGGGCTTCTTTAAATACAAGCCTATTCTTTCTTCCACAGTGCAAAAGATGGACTGGACTACTCTAGAAATGAATGGGACAATTTAAAAAAAAAAAAAAAAAAAAAAAAAAAAAATCACTTGTGGGATGTGGGCAATGGCTAGCCCAGTATTTATTGCCCATCCCTAATTGCCCCTCAAGAAGGTGGAGGGTGAGCTGTCCTCTTGAACTACTGCAGTCCATGTGCTGCATTAGACACTCAATGCTGTTAAGGAAGGGAATTCCAGGATTTTGTCCCAGCAACAGTGAAGGAACAGTGATATATTTCCAAGTCAAGATGGTGAGTGGCTTTGAGGGGAACTTGGAGGGGTGGCATCCCCATGTATCTGCTGCCCTTGTCCTTCTAGATGGCAATGGTCATGGGTTTGGAAAGTGCTGTCTAAGAAACTTCGGTGAATTTCTGCAGTGCATCTTGTAGATAGTATACACTGCTGCTACTGAGCATTGATGGTGGAAGGAGTGGATATTTGTGGATCTGGTGCCAATTAGGCAGGCTGTTTTGTCCTGGATAGCGTTAAGCTTCTGGAGTGTTGTTGGAGCTGCACTCATCCAGGGAGGTGGGGAGTATTACCTCAACATTCTTGATTTGTGTCTTGTAGATGGTGGACAGTCAAGTGGTGAGTTACTCATTGCAGGATTCCTAATTTTTGAGCTACTCTTGTAGCCACTGTATTTATTTGGCAGATCCACTCCGGTTTCCCTGTGACCCCAGGATGTTGACAGTGGGGGATTCAGTGATGGCAACAGCATTGCCTTAAGCGAGGAATAAAACAGAGCAAAATGATAAGTAATTATTATGGGAATTGGGGAGGAAGAAAGCAATGGAAATGCTAATACCAAGAGCAGCAAAAAAAAAGACAGACGTTAGGAGGAGCAAACGCCACAAACTGAACAAAAACAAGCCCAGTGCGAAATCCAAGTTATCCTCTATCACATGTGCAGTCTTTCCCAATTTGTTCAAACAAATGACTTTCACATCATCCTTACATCACAAATTTTAATAATGTTTTTTCTTGATTTATTTAAAATCTAACAATGCAGTATTATGGTTTGAGGCATTGGGGTCCCAAAGTCATGCATGGCAAACAAATATTTTGTTTCGACAGGGCAGGGCAATACTAACAAATGATAAAACTGCATGCAGATCAGGCATGAAGAGTAACTCAAGTCAAACACACAAGCTGGTGGAGGGGTTGTAACGGGGTAGGATTTGGATTGAATTGCAAATTCCAGGTGAAAAGCATAACATCAGCAGAATTACCTGTTTCAAACTCAGAAGGAAAGGCATACTGAACTCAAACCTGGATAAAGAAAGAATGAGAAAACTGAACTTCAGTCACACTTACACACCAACTACTTCCCAGCCTCTGCAGCCCTCAGCTCACTGCATGTGTTATTTTTTGACAGTTTGCAAAACAGCCAGAAAAACATCAGCCAATAGCCTCAGACAGGAATTGCGTAGGACACCATTGGGGATTGGTAACACTGGCAACAGCCAAGAATGAATGACATCACTGCACAACATCATCGCAACCACAAATCAGCTGTTTCACTATCGAGGGGCAGGAGTACAAAAACACGGCTGGAATTTATTTTGCAGACACCACCCTGTAATTACCGTCTAATACCCAAGAGCATAAACAAGCAAATGTCTTTAATGTCTGTGGCTATTTATGACTAAAAGCTAAAATATCGCACTCCTCTAAATGTTACAGCCATAAAGACCTAACCATTTCTATTAGTCATCCTCTCCACTATCAGCTCTTGCTTTCCTCCCCGCCTGTGCCTCTCACTCCAATTGTGAAGGCTAGGGAGCTCATCCTCCAACAAACTAATACAGAGACCATGCCAGTGCTAAATAACACAGTAAAATAAACTGTGGAAAACTTCAGCCGAGAGCTGACCTTTCCCTGTCAAACTTACAAAGGTATGGGTCAAAATCATGGCATTCTCTAGCTAACAGAAGTGCAGCAGTACCTTCACACAATAGAGTGGTTTAAAGTGCGGGATGTTCTTTGGAGATTCAGTACAGACTCAATGAGCTGAACGGCCTCTTTTTGCACTGTAGGAGATGGCAGCCCTGGTAAGCCATCTCAAGTACATCTAAGGTTTGTCAATAAATGCCAGCCTTGCCAGAGAGCTCATGATCTTAAGAAAACAAAAAAAAAAAACTGCATGGATTTTATTCTATACTAAAAGTACTAAAAAGATTATTTATTCAAACCTTTATATAAAAATCAACAATTGTCTTGTGTACCTTATTCAATAAATTAAAGGATTCCAAATTGCTTCAGTGAAGTTCAACAAATTCATAAATCATTAGGACAGGTGACCAAAGTTCCATTAAAGAGCTTTTAGAGAGAGTAATAGAGAAGGAGCAGGGGAGAGAAAAGGAGAGACAGAGTAGCAAGAGGCACAGGCAATGAAGGAACTGAAAAACATGAATGCTCTGACAGCAAGCATAGGTATCCAATAAATGTTCCTCAATAGTAACAAAAGCTTTCGCTGAAACTGAATAGAAAATTGGGGTGAGGAGGGACAAGCAATGATACCACATACCTTAAAAATTATTGTAGAGTCACCAGGAATTTGTAAAGATGATATGAACATTGTTTTAGAAAATCAATACATGTCCTAGCGACTAAATGTTCCTTCCTTTTCTTGCAGATTCGATCAGTACTTACTGTACTCACCTTTACATTTATTTTGCCAGATCCAATGGCTTTGCTGGAGTTCCAGGCTTCAGCCACCAGGTGGCTCTATAGATTGAGTCTTTGGAAGCATCACTATTTTGCTCAGAAGAGCATTCAAACACAAACCTTGGGGTTAACTTCAGAGCTTGAGAGTTTCCTTATACCTCTCATTTGGAACAAGTAGAAATGAGCTGGCCAAGATAAATTTACACTGGGTATTACATACGTATATCAAGTTTGGAAACTCCAAAGCGATTTCTTGTAAGAATTCTTCAGAAGTGGTAAAGGAGATCATAACCGGAGAACCAGAGGTTTGATAAAAAGGACCATTGAACATTAGTGTGCATTGTCTATAAGATGCACTGCAGCAGGGCAGCATTATGGCTCAGTGGTTAGCACTGCTGTCTCACAGCACCAGGGACCCAGGTTCAATTACAGCCTTGGGTGACTGTTTGCATGTTTCCCCCCTGTCAGCATGGATTTCTGCCAAGCGCTCCAGTTTCCTCCCACAGTCCAAAGATATGCAGGTTAGATGGATTGGCTATGGTAAATTGCCCCATGGTATCTAGGAATATGCAGGCTAGATGGGTTAGCTGTGGAAAATTGGGGTGGTGGGGGGTGGGGTTACAGGGTTAGGGTGGAGGGGCTGCACCTGGGTGGGATGCTCTTTGGGAGGTTCATATGCGAATTCAACGGGCCAGATGGTCTCTCTTTCTCATGCTGTAGGTGCTCCTTCAGCAGCACCTTTTCAACTGGTCACCACTAATATCTAGAAGGGCATGGGCAGCAGATACATGGGAACACCACCTCCTGCAAATTCCCCTCCAAGCCACTCACCATCCTGATTTGGAAGTATATCGCTGTCGCTGGGTCAAAAATCCTGGAACTCCTCCCCAAATGGCACTGTGAGAGTGTCCCTACACAAAATAGACTATATTAATTCAATGTGACAGCTCACCACCACTTTCCCCAGAGCAATTAGGAATTAGCAATAAAACTGTCATGCCAGGGATATCCAGATCCGAGGAATTAATAAGAAAATAATGAAATATTAACCTCACGAAGGCTCTATATCAATGTACGTGCTCTTGTTTTGCCATATGTCTGCTCCTTTGTAAAATAAGTTCAGCTAACAGAAAAGTACTTGGCAATAAGAAAAATTTAGCATGAAAACAGTGATCGATTCAAGTTCACTGGATGGTTGTTGAGCTCGATGTTCACCCAAATGTTTCCCACCGTGACCCCATTTGAGGTTTGAAATTTGGTATCATCCGTCAGTGAAGGCAAAGGGTTCTAGAGCTGGGAGTGGAGTAGAGAGTACAGAAATGGGAGGCAGATCCATGAGAGGGGCGGTGGGGAGGGGTGGAAGGGGAGAAAAGACAGACAGAGGGGGCGGGGATCGGAGGTGGGCGGGGGGGGTGGAAGACAGACAGAGAGACGGCAGGGGGAAGACAGACAGAGAGGCGGGGGAAGGAAGACAAGGGGGCAGAGTGAGAGCGAGAGGGAGAGGGAGAGGGAGAGGGGGCCGGGGGGGCGAAGGGGCAGAAAGGCTGATAATGCAGGATGGACACCATCAGAAGCTATGTTTATGGTGGGAGTTTTTAAAAGCAGATCCATTAGACAAAGACGTAAAGAAAGTCACGTTTCAAATGCTGTCAGTACTGGCCAATTTCCCAATACTTTAGTCTGTGTGGTTTAGTCCAGTCAATTGAGCACTCCTGCTATCCTGTACATTTCTGAAGCATAGCAGTCATGTCAGAATTTACCAGGTAGGCGTCACGGAAAGTCAAAATCAAAGACAGACATACATCATAATTATGACACAGAAATCAGCTTTTTGTCCCAACTGTTCTATGCAAATTCTACACAAACCTCTCTCCCCTCCTATCTGTTCTAAATGTATTCATCTCACTTTTCCTAAAATGTATCAATGCTTTTCATTTCAACTAGTCCAAGCGATGGTAAATTTTATTCGATAACCACCGAGTTTCTCCTACATTACTTATAAGTATATTCAGATCCCACAAATATAGTCTCCCCTACAAGTGGGAACATCTGTCTTCTCTATCAAACCCTTCCATGGTTTTAAATCCTCTTCAGTCTTATCTATCTTGGAGAGAAAAGAGCCAAGTTTATTAACATCCCTCAGTATAACCTCTCAGTCATAAATATGCATTTCTATAAAGCCTTTCACTAACTAAGATTATCTCAAGTCACAGAATGGCCAATGACGTGCTACGGAACTGACAGGGAATGGGACCAGAGCCGTAGAACAAAGCAATTAAGAAAGCATACGGTATCTCGAATATTATAAATATAAGTACAGATTACAAAAGCCATGACATTCTGCTAAAAGTATATAAATCACTACTAATGGAAGTGTGTCCATTGTGTGTCCCACTTTGGATTCAATAAATAAAACATCACTATAAAGCTATTCTCAGTAAGTGGTGCAAATAATGTTACCTACTGATTGCTGTAAAATTAAACACTATCTGGTTCACTAACATCCTTGGGAAAGGTCTGGCCTGGATGTGACTCCAAACCTAAAAGTGATGTGGTTGACTCAACAGCTCTCTGAAATGGCCTTAGCAAGGCACTCAGTTTGAGGGCAGTTAGGGATGGGTAACAAACATTTACGTTGCAAGCTCAATGAATGAATAAAGAACACAAACATTTTGCAGATGGCACGGATGAGATTTACTGAAGTGATTCTGGCGATGCAGGATCACAGTTACAGAGAATTAGGCTGTTCTCCTCAGCAGAGATGGCCAAGTGGACATTTGATAGGGATGTTTAAAATCACGAGAGTTTACGATAGAGCAAAATAAAGAGGAACTCCTTCGAATGGGTGATTACATTTCTGTCCCTGGTAATCAACGTCATTCACAAAAGAATGAAAGGCAGTAAGAAAAAAATTGTTTCTGGAAAAAAAAGTGGTTAGATTTGGAATGCATTATTGGTTGGTGGTGGAAACAGATTTAATAACATTTTAAAAAGGAACTGGATGATTACTTGGAAAAATGAGGCAAGAGTCAGGTAATGGAATTAATTAGATTTCGCAATGAAAGTTCCAGTATAGATTTGCTTGGCCGAATAGCCTCCCTCAATGACGCACTGTTCAGTGAACACAGCCATGTGAAAATTCAACTTTCTCACGAGTACAGACACATCCCTGGCAAAAATGAACTGGCAAAGTAAGATGGCGCACACAATCCAATGCTACAGCTGTTTGCAGTTTTGTTTTTAAGGAAGGACCCAAGTGGTGCGACTTTCTCCAAAGAATACAAGAAATGTTTTTAAGAAATACTGGTGAACTGTGGGCGTGGAGTCTCAAACTTCAACAATACAGTAGCAGACAGCGATTACTTACTTGGATTATAGCTGCTTCAATTTCTTTTTGTCTGTATCCAGTAGACATGCCTCCCTCGCTTCCAGGAGCCATGCCAGCTAACCTAACAAACCACAAAAACATGCCCATCTATTGCAGGGTTTAATCGAACATCACCACAAAGGCTGTAATCAGACTTCCCAACACACTGAGCTGCTTGTAAATGCCATTCATTTGTAATGTATTTAGCATGTGCAAGTCTCAAGGAAATACTTGCAGGGTTACAAGGAAAGACGGGGGAAATGGCAGCTCCTTCAGGGTGCTAGTACAGACACAAAGAGCCCAAC